GCTAATTTCACGTACATAATCATGTTTACTTTTGCATGTGTATTTATTTTAATGTATTGATAATGATATATATTAATTTGTATAAAAGTATTTTTCTTTGCGTTTTACGTTTGTTGGATTAAATTTAATGATATTAATAAAAATTTTTTCTTGGCAAAAAAACCGTGACCATTGGTCACAATCAGCCCAATTTTTTACTTGACTGTTTCTATATATAATATACTAACGAGCTTTTGAATATTTCTGTTCTTGTATATAATTTATCGAACATGTCGAACACTCAATCCAACGATTTATTAAGGGAATTAAATGCCAAGCTCTTTAGCTAAGATTGCAAAATTTAGGAAGAAGAATGCTGAGATCAAGGCTGAGAATATCAAATTAAAACAGGATAAAGAAGACATTGAGGTCAGATTCGTAAAACTAGAGCAGAGCAATAAAGAAAAAACTGATCTTATTGCTAAACTAGAATGGGATGTTTCACAAATTAAACAGACTTCAGTAACTTCACAATCACTTATTTCACCGTCAATTAAAAATCACTGGTGAAAATGATAGTACTGACTCTGTAAATCTAGAGCAGACACAAAGTGCTATTTCTCCTGAAGTTAATTCTAATAATATTTCTGAACAGACAGATGATACATCTGAAAATGCACCAAATTCTGATGTATGCCAATCTATCCATACAGAGCCTAATTCGTCAGAAGATAAAGAGAAGGATGATTTTCTGGATCGGATAGAAAAGGAAAGGGTTAGTAATATGATAAGAGAGAGAAATCAGGAGAAGCTTCAGAAAAAGCATAGCCTTGAGTCAAAAACTCATCAAAATCCAGACTTATCTTTAGATAATCAAAATGCTTCCTTGACAGAATTAGAAAAGCTGATACCACTTCCATTACTATGTAATGCAAATACTGTAACCAATGGTCACGATCGAGAAGAGATTATACCATCACCATTACTATCTGATGCAAAAACCATGACTAATAGTCACGATCAAAATAATATTTATGTAAACTCTGTTAATATCTCTGAAGTATTTGAATCAGATGATCAAATAGTAGAAAATTTAATACAAAAGATGTCCCATGATCATACACAGAGTGTCATTTCTTCCAAAAATAATTCTACATCTTTAGATATCAGTGGACCTGGTGAAATTAGCAAGTCTTGTATACAAAATATAATTCCAGGTTCTGCGCAAAGTCTCTCATATTTGTTTGATAAAGCAGTTAAAAAAGGTCAAAAAGAGATTCTATGCTGGTATTACTATTCACT